CAGCTCCCTACTAATGCGCCTGGGAAAGAGGCAGAGGATGGCCCAAGTGCTTGGACCCCTGCTCCCATGTGGGAGACCCGGATGAAGCTCCTGGATCCTGGCTTTGGCCTGGTCCAGGCCTGTCCGTTGTGGTCATCTGGGAAGTGAAGCCAGGAATGGAAGATCTTTCTCTCTTTTCTCTCTGCCACTCTTTCAAATAAGACATAAATATATTTTTTAATGGCTACCACATTGAGGATGGGACAGCCCAAAGCCAGGAGCCAGGCTTCTCTCTTAGGGTCTCAGACATGGTGACAGGGTCCCAAATATTTGTTCCCTTGTCTGCTACCTTCCGAGGTGTGTTCGAGGGAATTAGATGGGAAGCAGGTAGCTAGGACTCGAACCAGCACTTCAACTTACAGGATGCACTGCTAGAATCCAAAAGTTCTACTTTTGAAATTTATGTTTATTAAAAAAGCTTTCTATAAAAAATAATAAAAGTAAAAAATTAAATAAAAAAATTTATAGGATGCTGGTGTAGCAGGTAGGCAGTTTAACCCGCTGTGCCACAATGCCGGTCCTCTCTTTGGCAATTTAAAAACGTGTTTATTTTCTTCTCCTTGAAAGGTAGAGTGACAGGGAGAGAGAGAGAGATGGGGATCTTGCATCCACGGTTTCGCTCTCCACGTGCCCGCACAGCAGGCCTAGGCCAGGCTGAAGCCACAAGCCAGGGACTCTATCTGGGCTCCCACATGAGCAGCAGGGCCAGAGCACTTGTACATCATATGCTGCCTCCCAGGATGCATTAGGGGAGCTGGAGTGGAAGTGGAGCAGCTGGGAGTCCAACCGGGAACTCTGATGTGGGATGCAGGCATCCCAAGCGGTGGCTTAATCTGTTGCCCCGAACCCCTGCCCCCTGTTTTCCATTTCACCCAGGGGCCCGGCCTACTGCCCCTGAAAATGTCAAGGAGTTGCCTTAAACTTCACCCAGCCCCAGTGCTACAGGCTATGGAAGTCCAAAGCTCTTCTGCCTTTTCAGCGTTTTGCTTGGCAAAGCAGCTGTATGCAGGAGCCAGTGCCATGCTGGCTGTTTCCAAGCTCCCCCAATCAGAACTTGCCCAACCTGCATCTCCACACACCAGCTGTCTGCTGCGTCATCTATAAAATGCCCCCTGCACCCCCACACCATGGGGGAAGCAGCTTGGAACCGTCACATGCTCCTGCCTCCTTTGAGCCAATGACACAGCTCCTCTCTCAAAGGACCAGCAACACAGTTTGTGTTTCGACCAAGAGAGCAGCGGAGCTACCTAGCTCAGAGCAACCTGATCTTGTCACGTGTGACAAGGAGTTCCAGGGATTTCTTCTCAGGACTTCGCAAAAGTGACAGCAGAACTGGGAGGCCATGGCTTCCATGTCACTGGGTCCTTGCTCTCTCCTCCCCTCCTGTGTGGCCTGCAAGCGACAAAGCAGCCTTTGCCCTCTTTTTGAGTCTTGGTGCAATCCAGACCCCATGGTGGGACTGAGCCTCCTTCACCTGTCAAAGACAAAATACAACAAGTTTAATCGAAAAGATGCTAACTGGCTTTTGTCTGTGATTCTAGAATCAGGCTGAACACTTGCGTGTATAAAATAGGACAGGTGTTCCTGTGGACCCGCTCCTACGCCCCTTTCCTTGTCCTTGCCCTCGGTCTAAGTCACCCCAGGTTAGGCAGGCACACACCACCCAGAAGCCTAACGCCGCTTCTCAGCTCCTCCTTTTACTGTCGGTTCGCCCGGTGAATTCACATAAGGACTGATCATGCCAGAATTCGGAAGCATGTCATTGTCCCTCACTCGAGAGAGATGACGCTCCGGAGACACCGTGTGGGCATGCGGCCTTGACCTAATGAATCAAGGATGTCCCCCAGTAAGCAGAGGACAAATATAGTGAGTCTGTGAGTGATAAGAGCCTGTCACTTCAGGCTGCTGCCTCACAGGCAACAGCTGAAACTTAGGGAGAGAGAGCTCCAACAGTGAAAACGACAATGTAGCAAACAATGCAGAAATCCCTAGACAACCACCCCCAAATATCCATGGGCTGAACTTAGACGATCTCCAGGCAGTAACCAATGCGAGGTCATCCCATCCGCACCCAGTGAGGATCCCCACGTTTGTGGCAGTCCCCAGGCACCCAGGCTCTCAGGACAGCTGCTAGACCCCATCCCACCCACATGTTTGCCGTTAATCTCGAAGTGAACACAGAATTCAGGCCCTGGATTCCAACGCCTGTAAAAAGGCTTCTGCTAACCTAGGGCCGAGGATATGCTTGTGTCTTTCCAGAGAATGCGGGACAGCCCATTTGGGTACCAGCCAGAAACATCAAGCCTACAACTGTCAGCCAACCAGAACCAGCTGAACAAGACTGAGAGTCTGCCTTGTTAGCGGATGCACCTGCCCTATCATCCTACCCTGAGAAAGTACCCATAGCCACATCTGCTACTGCTTTATACCCCACTAGCTCTGGTCAGCCACTCAAACGGCCCACAGCCTGTGTGCAGTCACGCCATTCCTGATTACCATTGTTCCTCATTCCTTTCCCTATCTGAGCAAGCACTCCTGTGGCCTCTGGTTTTAAGCACTGGTTAGTCAACAATGGGTAAGATCCTCTGGGAGACAACCTAAGAGAAGCACAGCCACGTGCAGAGACCACATGGAAACGAGGTCAGCAATGGTCTGGCCAAGTATCATGCCTCCCATTGCTCAAAAATAAATGAAAAGGAAGAAATGTGGTGGAAAGAGAAGGTCATGCCAAGATGGCCGCTGACAATGGAAACTGCCTGGCAACAGGCTATGATTGGATGGCTTCGGGAAACAACATGACAATGGAGCCTGACTGACAGCAGGCTTTGATTGGATGGCTTCGGGAACCACATGGCAATGGAGCCTGCCTGGCAACCGGCTGTGATTGGATGGCTTTGGAAACTGCCTGGCAACAGGCTGTGATTGGTTATGGCATAGACCGCCCCTTGACACGATTGACTGCCTTGGATATTTAGGCTGCTCTACCAAATAAGTAAACGAGTCTGTGGGCTGCTCACCTCTGGCTTGCTTTCACCTGACACCTGTGGTCTGTGTGGTGACTCCACGCCTCTTGCCCCTACCACGCTCCTACTCTCAGAAGGAATCCACCGCAACATCACAGTCCCCAGAGCTATGACTACCACCTTATTTTTGTCTCTCTAGAGACACACTTCTTGAAATAGCCCTCGCCTCTGTGAATCCTCACCTCCCATTCATTCCTTAGCAAATTGCAGCCTGCTTCAGCTGATTCCTGCAGGCCACTGAAGCTGTGCTTGTCATGAAAATGAATGACCTCCTCACGGCCACCATGGAAGAAACGGAGATCTTTCCTTTTCTCCATTATCGTGGCCTTAGCCACTGCTTGGAATTTCTCTCTTGCCTTCTCCTTGCCTCCCATACCACTCCATTCTCTAGTTCTTTTTTCCCTATTTATTGATTTGAAATGCAGACAGAGAAGGAGAGAGATCTTTCGTCCATTGGTTCACTCCACAGAAGCCTACAACAGCTGGGGCTGGGCCTGCATAAAGCCAGGAGCCAGGAGCTCCATCCAAGATGGGTAGCAGGAACTCAATCACTTGAGCCATTATCAGAGGCAGGGAGCTGGACCAGAAGGAGTGTAGCCAGGTCTCCAATGGGCACTGCAGTATGGGATGCAGTGTGGTGCCTTAACCTGCTGTGCCACAACATTAACCTCCATTCTATAGTTCTGTAACTGCCTCCTCTTTGTACCAACCACCACTGGTGTTTCCCAATTCGCTTACTCCTGCCTTTCTCCTTTTCTATACCTGTTGCTTTCCTGAATGGCTTCTTCCACACCCAGCACATGAACTTCACTGTAGCACTTGAACTTCACTATTTATGTGCTGATGACCTTTGAGTAAGCTGTCCTTTGTAATCCTAGGGGTGAACCTGAAGGCACTATGCTAAGGGAAATCAGGCACAGAGAGACAAATACATACCATATCCCACTTACGTGTAGAATCTAAGAAATACCAACTCAGAATTTGAGAGCAGGGTGGCCGTCAGCAGGGGCCAGAGTAACGACACAGTGGGCTAAGTGGCTTCCCGTATCAGAGGCTGATCTGACTCCCAGCTGCTCCAGTTCTGATCCAGCTTCCTGCTGATGCACCTGGGGAAGCAGTGGAGGGTGGCCTAACTGCTTGGGTCCCTGCTACCCACGTGGGAGGCCTAGATGAGATTCTAGGCTCCTGATTACAGCCTGGACCAGCCCCAGCAATTGCAGCTGTATGGGATGTAAATCAGTGGATGGAAGATCTCTCCCTGTCTCTCCCTCTCTCTGTCATTCTGCCTTTCAAATAAATAATCTTTACAAAAAAAAAAAAAAACAAAGTGGTAGTCATGAGAGGCTTGGCAGAACACTGGATGGAGAGAGGCAAGATGTTGATCAGAGCATACAAAGTTTCAGGTGAAAGGAAGAAGCAGCCTTTAGTGATCACTAGATCTCATGGAATGGTGACTTTCGTCAGAATTGCTAAAAGTAGATCCTAAATGTTTTCACCACAAATGAGTATGTAAGGCAATGGCTTTGTTATCAGCCTGACTTAATTCTTCCTCAGGTTCACACATGAGAACATGACTCTGCTGGGCTAAAGGGAGGCTGGGGAGACAATTCACGTTTTTTGTTTTTTTGTTGTTGCTGTTGTTGTTTTCTTCAGTATTCTGGAATTGGCGATGCTGGATGTACAAACCTTATAAATATACTAAAAATCACTTGCACACTTGAAAAGGGTAAGATCTATGATATTTATAGCTCAAAAAGAATTCCAATGGCATAATATTCTGTGATGGAATTTGTGGTGGAATGAGAAGGCCATGCCAAGATGGCCGCAGGCAACAGAAACTGCCTGGCAACACGCTGTGATTGGATGGCTTTGGAAACTGCCTGGCAACAGGCTGTGATTGGTTAGAGCATAGACCACCCCTTGACCAGATTGGTTGCCTTGGCTCTATAAGCTGCTCTACCAACTGAAATAAATGAGTCTTCCAGCTGCTCGCATCTGGCCTGCTTTCACCCACACCTGGGGTCTGTGTGGTGACTCCACGCCTCTTGCCCCCACCACCATCCTCCTCTCAGAATGGATCCACAGCAACATCTGGCACCCAAGGAATTGTTATAAAAACGTGCTAGTGGTGGGCTTATTTTTATAGTGCTTGGGGTTTTTGTTTTTGTTTTTTTGTTTTTGTTTTTGTTTTTTACAAAATTACATGTCTGTAACTTCTCTTTGTCTAACTGGGCGAAATATGATTTTGACATTGGCCTCTATGGGAAGCAATATGTTACTGCCCACCACTACCACCGAAACCAAAACTGCCAGTATTTTAGAGTCCTCGAAATTCTTCCCAAAGCCACTTTGTGTCCTCACTGACTCTATCCAGCCATCCTAATGCTTCCCCTGAATTCTAACTAACCCCTTGTACTTGGGGCAATCAAAGATGAAAATGTCTCTACTTTGGAATTTACTTCTGTAAAAACTTTATTTTCATGCTCTATGAAACGCAGACAGAGATGTCCCATCCATTGGTTCACTCCCTAAATGTCCACGACAGGCAGGCTGGGCCAGACTGAAGCCAGGAGCCCAGAACTCAATGCAGGCCTCCCACAAGGTTGGCATTAATAGGACGCTGGACTCAAAAGTGGAGCCAGGCTGTGGAGTAGTGGGTAAAGCTGCCGCCTGCAGCACCGGCATTCTGTATGGGCGCCGGTTCGAGTCCCGGCTACTCCACTTGTGATCCAGCACTCTGCTATGGCCTGGGTAGATGCTCCAAGTCCTTGGGTCCCTGTATCCACGTGGGAGACCCAGAAGAAGCTCCTGGCTTCAGATCGGCCCAGGTCCGGCCATTGCAGCCATCTGGGAGTGAACCAGCAGATGGAAGACCTCTCTCTCTCTCTCTGCCTCTGCCTCTGCCTCTCTGTAACTCTCAAATAAATACATTTTTTGAAAAAGTCTTAAAAAACGAAAGTGGAGCCAGGCCATGAACCCAGGCACTCAGATATGGGACGCAGCCCCTAGTGGCAATTAACCACCATACTAAGTGCCTGCCCCAGAATTTCCACTTTGGCTGTGGTGTGGGCCAAGTTCACACTGTTGAAATGGTGGGTCCCTAAGGAAAGACTCTCCGATCTTTTTTTTTTTTTCAAGGCAGAGTGGACAGTGAGGGAGAGAGACAGAGAGAAAGGTCTTCCTTTGCCGTTGGTTCACACTCCAATGGCCGCCGAGGCCGGCCCGCTGCGGCCAGCGCACGACACTGATCCGAAGGCAGGAGCCAGGTGCTTTTCCTAGTCTCCCATGGGGCGCAGGGCCCAAGCACTTGTGACATCCTCCAGTGCACTCCCTGGCCACAACAGAGAGCTGGCCTGGAAGAGGGGCAACCGGGACAGAATCCGGCACCCCGACCGGGACTAGAACTGGGTCTGCCGGCGCCATAAGCGGAGCATTATCCTATTGAGCCATGGCGCCGGCCCTGTTTTTATTTTCTGTTTGTTAGAGAGGTGGGAGTGGGGGCAGAAGTTGGAGAAGAACTCAACCGGTCCACCGTGTGGGTGGCACTTGAACCATCCTGAACCGTCCCTGCTGCCTCCCAGGAGCCACGTCAGCAGGAAGGTGGAGTCAGGAATGAAACCCACTCGCTCTAATACGGGACATGGGTGTGTCTCAGCCACGGGCTTCTCATCTGCCTGAGCGCCAGTTCCCAGAGGGCTAAGCAAGAGCACCAGGTTAGGGGTAAGACGAGGAAGAACTGGCCTGGGGAATGGGGTGGAGTCCTTAAGCACAAACTGGGGCGAAACTTCAGCAGGGAGATCGCATCTGGGACAGATGGGAGGACAGAGGTGCAGGCCACCCACCTGCAGCTGAGCTCCAGGGAGAGGGGACAGCCCTTGGTCAGAGAAGCCAGCCCCTTCTCAGGGGGGAGGGCGCCAGAGAGGCACACCTGGGGCTTGGCGGTGTGCCCCCGCTGAGCCTTCCCTTCAGAACTCCTGTTTGGACAGACATTCTCATGAGCTCACCCCGAAAAGAGTTGGTTCAAACCAGCGTCACTCTCCTTGCGACGTTCGGAAGAGCCCAGGATTCTCAACACCTGTCTCCCTCGTGCTCCCACTCTTAGCAGCAGGTAGCCAGAGCTGAGAGTCACACCGCCCTCCAAGAGTGGGTCCTGCCTGCACACACCCACATGCACACCAGCTTTAGCCATGTCCTTTTATTGAGC